GGGGGGGGGGGGGGGGGGGCTAAGCATTTGTGCGAACTGTTGTCGTTAGACCATTGGCCTCGCATCCCTGCAATGCCGGGACGGAGCGATACGTCGGGATTTCGCCTGCCCAGGCGGCGATTCACAAGGATGAAACAGACGCTGGTCATCAACCTTGAGTCTAAACCAGATATGACATGGGTTGAATGGGCATCCCGGCGCAACAAACGTTTCACATTCGGCAGGCACGACTGTGCTTCAAGTAGCGAAGGGTACTTCGATCATTGCGCGCTTGTTCGCAACAGGCACGCCCCACACAGTGAACACGCCGTTTCGCGTGAGATACGCTTTGAGTATAATCGAATCTGCTTACACATGTTTATACTTCAGGTGGAAAAGGTCCAGACGGAGTAGTTCATAAGATTTTCGCTCTAGGGCGTTCCAACTTTCCAGTGTTCAGCGGAAATCCTTCAAATCCAGGACCAAAGACCACAAGTTCACTTGATATACCGCATAAACAACTCCCACGCCCTATACAACACGATCACAGCTCCATACCACAGGACCCAACCCTACCTCGACGAATCCACCCTCGAACCTCACAGGCGGGGGGATTGTCTGTGTCGATTTCATCGGGGGGCGCGAACAGTATCCATGTCAGCTTCACAGCGGGGCGCGAAACATGTTGCGCGTGCTCGACGCAGAAGTGGGGCCATAACGAAAAGTATGCAGCTTTTGCTCCAAGGGCCGTGCTAGCGGTGGAAAAGCAGCTCGAGGACAGAACACGACACAACACGTTTTGTTTTCCGTTGAGAAAGAAAGGTTAAGATGTACCGTCGTGTGATCGCACCCCCTCTTCACACGGAAAACGTTTTTCGTCAAACTGCAGCACCGAATAAGATGCAAACGCCCTTTCCTGGTCAACCAGTTCGCGTGATCGATAGTACTTTTTAAGAGAGTACATTACACAAACCGCGAATCTTCCGCCGGGGAAGCCCGGCGACAAACTACTGACGTCCTTTCATCTGTCAGCAGGTGTGTGCGATCCATGCAAGTCAAATAAACACACGTACATTGGTCAGCCGGTTAGCGGTCGATGCTCATCAAAGAACACACACACTAACAGAGGGACCCAGACCATGGCCAACGAAACATTTCCCGTCTTTTTTTCCGCACGGCGACCAACGTATTTCAACTACTTACCCGGTTGGCGCCGTTCCCATTAGTACATACACATTTCACGTTTCCCCCTGTTACATGGCTGATGGCCTTTTCATTGGTCAGCCGAATACCGTGGTCGACACTACCTGAAGAAGTACGAAGTACACCGGAGGCCGATTGGTCCCACCTCTCCTTCTCTTCTTCTGCGTTATCAAAAATGCTGACGACTCACAATAGTACACCTGGAGGATGCAGTGGCTGCACTCGATGTCCGGGAAGAGGAAGCGCATCTTGATGCCGTACGGGTCATATCCGGTGCCGCTCGGCAAGCCATCCTTGTAGAAGGCCTGGTCGGTCTCGTTCAAGCGGCACGGCGGGTCCGGGTAGTACCGCCCGGTGTAGTTAGGGTCTATCGGGCTGCCGTCACCATCATCTGGTGCGCGAGTCAAGGGGTGCGTGTTCAAGCACTCCTGGGTCCCCACGCCGTCGGGGTCGTTGAGATCAGCCGCGTCGCAGATCGAAAACTGAAACTGCCCCCGTGTGTTGTGCGTGTGCGTGGAGCGGGGTCGAGGGGGGTTGGCTTCGCTGATGGGCGGATGGGCGGGGGCTTGGAGCGGGCTGTCAATTCAAGAGAAGGAACGATATCCGAGTTGTGGCCAGGCGTTGTTTTGTCGACTCGTTCGAGAAACCAAACAGTCTACACGAAAAATGCACGTGCTTGTCCGTGGAGGCTCGCAGCAAACGTACGGGGCAACGTGTTGAAGAACGGATGCTGATGCAACGACTCGCCGTGTGCCTCCGAACAGCTGGGCGCCGTCCACTGCGACAACTAATTGCCTTCAAAGGCATGGTTTAAGTCAAGCGGGCGACCACGGGTATTTCGGCAAACAGAAAGAACGCATGCTCTGAATCAGGTTGCAAATTATCGAGCTCACCCAGTGGTAGAAGTTCATCACAATGTCCATCTCGATGACCTGTCCTGAGATGAACGTGCTCAAGACTTCCCACTCGGCGTTAGGGGTGGTGCAAAGGATGTCTTCTTCGTCGCTACCCTGCGGTGGCGGGTTGAAGCAGGGCCAAGGGAACGCATGACGAACGATCACCGATGTTTTGTTCGGAAAGGCTAGGCTTGAACGTGGTTTGCCTTGCTGTCTGGCGCCACACGACATCCAGTACGAAAACGCGCGCAATGCAGGCTTTACGTAATCACCAACAACGAGAAACAACTCATCATGTTTCCCGGCTGCGAGCCCCTCTCTCGCGCGCAATATTGTTCGGTTTTACACCCTTTGTGTGTGCCCGATCGTAAACCACCACCACCACGATGTGTACCACCACCACCACCACCACCACCACCACCGTACTCTAGTCTTGCACCATCGGCCGGAAACTCATGAAATCGGAAGGTCCTGGGTTGTACGTTTCGCACTTACGCTCACGGGGTCACCGCAGAGGAAGTGTCGCTTCGAGATTTCTTCCGGTTCCAGCATGTTTCCATTTTCGGCGAAATCGGGATATTGGAGCGGGTATACATCCACGCCTCCGAGACCTTCCAGGATTTGGGCGTACATTTTAGCTTCCGCTCGGTTGTTCACTTTCCATACCCCCCCCGGAGTTGGAAGAGAAAGGCATACTCCCGATTTCTGGCATTTCGCTTATAGCACAAGTGAGTTGAGGCCGCATTGGGCCAGTGTAGATGGATGGAGCGAGAGCAAACGGTGTGTGGGTTTGAAACGGGAAGAGAGGGGGAAGAAGGAAGAGTCATCAGGATTCTGCAGGCCGCTACGATGGAGGGGTCGGCGGACGGGAAAGTGCGATGGAGCATCAGGACTGGGTAGGGAAACGTCTTATCGAAACACTTAATTTTTGGTTCGTTCATCACATCGTGTTTCCCTCCACCAAGCAGGTTAGCGTTCATGATGCAGCAAAGCCGGACGTCAACAAGTTCGCCTTCTAGCCGTCGTCCGTTTTCTCTGACCTTATCCACACCCACCCTTGAATCGTAGGTGCAAAGGAGGAATGTTGGTCGAGTTGGAGGAACGCCGGACGGAGAGGTCAGCGGCAACATACGGGTGGGTGGAGACATCCGACATGTGCGGGGCTAGGGGGTTCGATACTTGACTTCGTGGCGGTGTGAGGACGGGCTCTGAAGTTTCGTCTGCAGTGAAAAACTACAACTACTACAAGGTATGCCACGGTACCACTTTATTTTCGACTGAGAGTTCGAACTGGAGCGTGTTACCTACGTTTTCTGGGGATTCGCCCGCTGTACCCTGTTTGCATTTATTCTGTGGTTGTTTCAGGAGCTTTCATTGTTCGCGTGGTAGTTATTCATTTTGTAAATCAAATAAAACGCCGTGCCAACAGTTAGAACCAGTGAGTGTCAAAACGTGGTGCACAACTGCCGCTGTAATACATACGCGCGCATTGATACCGTAACAACAACGGTCGGGGAGGTAGGATATTTGTGTTGGGGGAATAACCTCTTCCTAAACAAGAATAGACAACGAGACAAGGCACGACGGCCACTCCGCAGAAACAAGACGAGTCTAAGTTTATCGTGATACGGATAGAGGGACGCGATCGACGTCCCTCGGCTAGAGGGGTTACCGTGCAGTTGCCCCGCCCCAGCGACTCCAAGAAAGCGGCCGGGACGGGTGCCCATGGACTGGCCAAGCCGGGTACGCCAGCAGGAGAAGAGCAGCAATCGCAATTGCGGTAGATGGTGGGATCGCCTTGGCTGCTCCTGCTTGGGACACACATGCAAACGACGAACGTATGACACGGCGAAACAACCGTCTTAGACGACAACGGCTGATGGCGGTTGACCACGATTGGGGTGTCTCTGCTGTTTACGTCAGCGTACAGAGCAAAGGTGTCTGTCCAAAGAAAGTTAACAGAGACTATAACTAGGGCATTGAAAGGCCCGAGTCGGCGGTGGGGCCCGACTCGCAAGGGGAAATAGGAGGAGGTGCTTGTACGATTGGGGGGAATGCCCACATCTGATTGCCGCCTCTTCCAACAGCGCTGCTATGATAACTGGGCACACGAAAAACCAGAGGTGCGATGCCCGCTTCGTGCCAATGGAAAAAAAAAAGGTTCATCGACATCGATAATGGATCGTTCAACCGGGGGTGGGCGCACAACCCGGAAACACATGCATTGTTGTTCGTTTGTTGGAGCCACAGGTCGAGTACTCGTTGGCTGACAATATCGTCGCCGATGATATCTCTCTGCCCTGGCGCGAAGGTATCATTCGGCTAAACTCCGAGGGTTTTTCGTGCTGTCTGGGAGAATGTGCAGCTGGTCGCCGTTGCTCTCATGGCTTCGGTGACCGAACAACATTGTTGCTGAATGCAGGCCTCGGACCAAGACGCGTTCGAATGCCTCTGATTCTTGGGCACACAACGTAGAGGCACTATAAGTGGGTGCACGATAGTGCCATGCTTGGCGTATAGACTAGGTAAGAAACGTTTCCGCGCATGCCTTCTAGTTTCACAACGCGCGAACAGTACGCAGCCGCGTCGATACAGGAAGGGACCATGTCCAAGTTGACGATGGTGATTCACAAGCAGTTGGGGCAAGACAGCAGCTGGGACCCTGTCACGCGGTCGGGCAACCCATGTCGTAGTCCTCTCGTAGACTCCTACGTCATGTTTACGGGGAACGAACAGAACCTTTGTCAAACCACGTAGAGGCTATGTTGCCGCATATCCTCTTCGGTTTGTTGAGGGACATGCGCTTTCGGGCACAAATTGCGTCGCCTTTGGTGGTACGCATTGAACATACCGGGGACGTCGCTTTGTTCTCGCTGGCGTTCGCGGCCACGACAACCTCTCCTTCACGATGGGATCGCATATTCTGCGGCTAGCAGTGGGGGGGGGGGGGGGGGGGG